CTTCCTCCCCTCCTGCTCACTCACTCCTTCCTCCCCTCCTGCTCACTCCTTCCTCCCCTCCTGCTCACTCACTCCTTCCTCCCCTCCTGCTCACTCACTCCTTCCTCCCCTCCTGCTCATTCACTCATTCCTTCCCTCCTGCTCATTCATTCATTCCTCCCCTCCTCCCTCCCTGTTCACTCATTATTCTTCATCCTGTTCATTCATTCACTCGTTTCTTCTTCTGTTCATTCATTCATTCATTCTCTCTCCCTCTTGCTGAGAGAGCGGGGTGGTGGGACTGGAAGGTGTCAGGAAGTCTGGACACAGAGTGGGGAGAAGAGGAGGAGGGGAGAGCCCAGGTGCCAGGTCTGGAGGCCTTGGGACAGAGGGACTGGAAGCAAAGGGAGGGGGTCCCATCCATCTTTTAAGGAGACCCCTGCTGCAGGGCCCCCAGAGGGTGGGGAGAGGTTTAGGTGGAGAGGATGCTGGGACCAGGAGGGGAGGGGCCTGGGCTTTCTAGAGAGAGTTGGTGGTGGGGGGCGGGTAGGAGCGGGCCAGAGGTGGGGTGCTGTCCAGCCTCTAGGTGGGAGAGGCTGGGAGGGGTGGGGCGACATGTCACTGGGTGGTGACTAGCTGACACATGGGGGCTCCCAGGCGCCAGCTCCACCCTGACCACCCCCAGCGCCCGCAGTGGCTTCAGCTCTCTGCTCTGTCTCAGGGGACGACCGCAGCCTGTCCAGCTCATCCTCGGAGGCCAGCCACTCGGACGTCAGCGCCAGCAGTCGGCTCACCGCATGGCCGGAGCAGTCCTCGTCGCAGGAGGGATCCGGGCTGGCTGCTGCCCAGGCCTCGGGGGAGGCTGCATTGGGTGCCTTGAGGCCACCCCCAAAACTGCTTCAGCCGCGGCAGCTGCAGGAGGTCGGCCGCCAGAGCTCCTCGGACAGCGGCATCGCCACAGGCAGCCACTCCTCCTACTCAGGCAGCTTCTCCTCCTACGCGGGCAGCAGCCTGGACGTGTGGCGGGCCGGTGATGAGTTCGGCTCGCTGCTCAGCCTGCCGCCGGCGGCTGGGGCGCCAGAGCCCAGCCTGTGCGCCTGCCCTCCCGGGGTGGCTGAGTACCAGGTGCCCACAGCCCTGCGGCCTCACTACGACACGCCCCGCAGCCTGCGCCAGGCCCCCAGGGACCAGAGCCCGGCCTTGCAGGGTGGCCCTGACGACAGTGCAGCCGGGGACTCCGGCGGCCAGACGTCCACCGGGTGTCCTTCCGGCTGGTTGAGTGCGAGACGGCAGGGACAGGCGACAGAGGGCGCCCCAGGCAGCGAGGCTGCACTGCCCAGCCCAGCCCCCGCAGAGCTCTGGGGAGCAAGCGGCCCCCATGCTGGGCCCCCTCCAGCTTTCTTTTCAGCATGTCCGGTCTGTGGAGGACTCAAGGTAAACCCCCCTCCCTGAGAGCCGAAGAGCAGGCCCTGCTGCTATAGAGGGGCTGGATTTTGTCCCTCTGGATGGGAGAGGAGGTGGTGCTGCCTCCTTGCAGAGAGGGTGCTCTGTGTGCTGAGGGACAGACCTGGGGCTGAGGGTGACAACCCCAGGGCCGTCCTCCCCAGGGAGGGGAACCTGGGGTTGGGCCCTGTGGCCACCAGTGGAGGGGCCAAGTAGGGGAGGTGAGTTCTGGGAGGGGGGCTCTGGGCTGCAGGCCAGGATTGGCAGAGCCCCAAGGCCCTGCTTCTCTGCTCCTTGTCAGTGCCGGGCACAGGTGGGCGCAGTGTCTCCGCTGGCTCATGCTGAGAACTGGGGCCCACTGCCTGGCTTTGTGGACCTGCTTCCCACTGGCCCCTTGGGGGACAACTGACTCTCACATCCCACCCTGTCCCCTCCATAGTGCACAGTCGCACCACCCGCTAAAAACTAAACTACGCGCGGCAGCTCCGGACACCCGCACTCCACGATCGCAGCTCCCACAGGCGGGCACGGCCGTCCCCATCTATGGGGAGGAAACTGAAGTTCAGGAGGCTCTATGGCTTGCGGGGTCTGCGTCTCTGGGGATCAGACCCCATAGTCCCCCCCACCAGCCCCTTCCTGAGCCCCTGGAGGGCTCCAGGGGGTGGTGTCCTCAGAGCAGCCCACCTTCTTCAGTCTGACCCACACTCGTACGGGCCAGTGGCCAGAGGATCCTGCCTGGCATGCTCCCGGGGGTCAGGAAGTGGTGGGGACGTCAGGCTCCTAGGGCTACACTGGCATTGGGAGACTCCAGGCCCCGCGGTGGTCGCCGGCCTGAGCTGGGCCTGTGTGGCCTGTGTCCACCCATGCCTGGCTCCGTCTCCCGCCGTCTGGAACTGGCCCTGATCCCAGGGGCTTTTGCCTCCCCGTCACCGTCTCTGTACCTTCACCATTGGCCGACGACGTGGCTCTTTCTCGTTTCCAAGATCCGATGCTGTTTGTAACAAACACATTCTCAGGCTGGAAATAAAATGTTCTTTTCTTACCGCCTTGTGCTCTTCCGTCTGGCCAGCCCTCCCGCTGGGCCTGCCTCTGGGCCTGCCCCTCAGCCTTCGGGTGGCAGAGAGCGGCGTGGGGCCTTGGTCTCATCAGCCGTGGGCCTGAGTGTGGGGGAGGTGGACAGCCACAGGGCGGGATGTGCGTGTGATGCGTGTGATGCGTGTGCACGTGTGTGTGCTGCCTGTTTCCTGGAGACCACAGCGAGGTCCTCCGTGGTCCCTCGGGCTCGGGCATAGGGCTGCCCACGTTCAGGTGAGCGGGACACTCTGCCTCTGGGCCAGTGGGGGACTGGCTCTGCACCGGAGCTCCCTCTGGCCCCGCCGGTTGCACTCCTGGGGTCCCAACTGCAAGGGGGCTTTGGGCTGGGCTCCTGGACAGCACCGAGTGGGGAAGGGCAGGCTTTGGTGCCCACATCCCCCACCCGCTGGCTGAGCGGCCCCCGCAGGTCTCTACCCTCTCTGAGCCTCAGTTTCCTCTTCTGTAGATGGGACCACAGCCCCCGCCTCACTGGCTGCGCTGCATAGGTGCATCATCTGTGCGGAGGTGGCGGACTCAGTCTGGTTGCAAAACAGACGAGGCTGCGGCTCCTCGGGTGGGGAGCCAGCCCCTGCTCCTGCCAGAGCCCTGATGTGCTCCACGGTCCCCTGCCCACGCTGGCTCGGGGGACAAGCGTCCCTCCCGCAGCAGCAGACTGAGGCCCCGCCATGAGGACTTCCCCATGAAGGCAGGAAGACCTGAGGGGCGGGCTGCCCGTCACCTCCTTGCGTGGGCATCCTGGCTGTGGACTCGGGTCTCCCCGGCTGCAGTCATGGCGGGGACTTTGGGGAAGGGCTGCCTGGAGGGTGGGCAGGAGGGCAAGGTTGGAGCCAGGCAGCCAGGGCCTTGGGATTGAGGCCAGGACCTGGGCTGGTGGGGGCTGGGCTGGGGACATGAAGGGCACACTCAGAGGAGGGTGGGGCCTGCAGGGGAGGGCCAGTGTGGCTCCTTGGGGGCTGCTGTGGTCCGTGGCATCTCCTGTGGGACCCCATGATGGCCCAGGGCGTGGGCCAGGGTCATGGGGCTTGGTGGGGCTGGCGTGGCCTCCAGGATGTAGCAATGGCCTCTGTCTCTTCTGTTCCGGATGTGCTCATGGGTGGACCCCTGGCCTCTGGTTCTACCCACTGCCTGCTATAGCAGCCCAGGGTCTCAGCCTGGGTCCCGGGGTGGGTGGCTCACAGGGCGGGGCCTCCCCCACAGGGCCGGGACGACAGATGGACAGACACTGGTTCCATTTCTTTGCCCCCCTGCCTCGGGCCCCCACCTGGTCCTGCCCAGGTTTGGGGAACAAGGCGGATCTGCGTCTGCTTACTTCACTCCACTCCTTGCATCCGCCATGCCCAGCATTTGGGTTTTACCCGCAGCTACAGAGTGGGCCCCCAGCAGGGGCCATCGCGGGTGGCTGAGCAGCAGGAATCAGCCCCTGCTTGCGGAGGGGCTCCCAGGGGAGGTGGCCAACACCTGCCCCGTGGGCCCTGGGAGGCCTGTGTGTGTGATGGCCTCAGGAGGTGTCCCAAGGGCTGCCGCCTGCCCTGCTCAAGTCCCTAAGCCCCCCCGGGGCTCTGTTACCAAAGGTGACATGGTTGGACCAGCCCAGCTTGCTCAGGGCATCCCTGAGGGGCCCAGACCATCCTGTGGCTGTCTTCCCTCGAGTCTGGCCCGGACTAGTGCCGCGTGCGAGCTCCGTTTCCAGCCCCTGCCCCGTCCAAGGCCCCAGTGTCCCCACCTCAGAGGTCCTAGAAGGGGACGGGGCTGCTAGGGCATCCAGGCACCTGCCGCAGGCCCTTTCTGAGGGGTCTGGCGTGTTCGCAGCCCCAGGCTGCCTCAGCCTCCATTTCCTCCTGGCTGGGGGGCTGGGGGCCACCATCCCCCCCTCTTCTGCCTGCAGAGTCTGCCCCAGGCTCCTTCCTCCCTGGGGCTCTATGGCACCTGCAGTTAGGCATGACCAACTTCACAGGCCCAGGAAGAGCTCGCCCTGCAGTTTGGGGGGACATTGCTCATTTTACCTGGGCCTCCCAAGTGGGGTTTGCCCATGGGGACCATGGGCTGGATGCTCCCATGAGCTGCTTAGCGCAGGGCCGGCACACTGAAGGGCCAGAAGGTAAACAGGGCCATCAGGGACCATATGCCTCGCATTGTGGCCACTCAGCTCTGGTGTACAGCCCAGACAACTCGAGGAGTGGTATGGCCATGTTCCAATAAAACTGTATTGGCAAAAATTGGTGGGGCTATATTGGGTCTGGGGGCGCTGGTTTGCCCAGAACATGCCTGTCTTGACACCCGAGGCCTCCAGCTTTCCCTGGGCTGTTGCTGGGAGCCACTGCCGGGCCGGTGGTTGGGGCTGGAGGGCAGCCTGGAGACTAGGGCATGGGGACCAAGGGCCCTGCAGGAGGAGGAGTCGGGGATTGCAGGCTGGTCTCCCTGTGAGTGGCCCAGGTCCCCCAACCTGTGTCACTCTTGGGTTTAGCGTCCTGGTTCTTGGGGGCCCCAGGCCCTGGATGAGGGGAAGTCTGATGGATGCACTGACATGGGGTCTCTTTGGTCTAGGGAGCAGCTGCCTCACCCCCTGGACTCAAGATGACACATTCAGGTAGGACCTGCTTTAGAGCCCAGTGCCCACCTAGCTCGGGACAGGGACATGGGAGTCAGGGTGGGAGGTTACAGCCAGAAGGTCTGGCCAGAAGGGCAATGGCAGTGGACGGTGGGGCGTCAGTGGATGGTGGGGTGGCAGTGGGGGGCAGGACTAAGTCCCAGCTGAGATGTATACAGGGGGGCAGCCACGTGGCCTGCCTCAGGAGCACCTGCTGTTAGTGGCAGTGGGCCACTGGACGACGGTGAAAAGGTCAGGAGACACGGCCTTGGGGCAGTGGGTCCCCAAGCCTGAACCTGTGCCCGGGAGGGCTGCTTTGTGGGCAGGGCAGAGTTGAGGCTGGGGCTGGGCCTGCCACCTGGGAGGTGCAGCCATGTGCTCAGAGAGCCATGGTGTGGGGTGGGCAGCCGGGGTGGAAGCCTGTGGTAGCAGGTGGGGCGGTCTGGGGACTCAGCTGGGGGCAGGGGCATTGGCCATTGTCTAGTGTAGTTTTGGGTCTGGGTGGGAAGGCTCAGGATCCCTCCAGAGGCTCCTCAGAGAAGCTGAGCTGTCAGAGTGAAGGTGGGGAGGCCCTGAGGCTGGGGGAGGCAGGAGGTCAGGGAGCCGGCCTCGGGCAGGCGGGCAGGGTCAGGGGCCAGCTTGGGCCTCAGAGCCCCTAATCCCTCTTCCCTGACGAGTAGCCCTCTTCCCCAGGCCCTTGGGAGGTGGGACCGTGGGTGCAGCGGGGGCAGGCTGGGGACAGAGATGAGTCTGACCTCGGTGGGTTCGGTGGGGTCTGTCAGCCCAGGGTGGGGTTCCTGGGAGAGGAAACACAGAAAGGCCAGGATGCGGCATCCCCTCGTTCTCTGCTTTGTTCCAGAAAGTAGTTGAGGTAGCATAAACAATGCTCACGAGAAGATAAAACAAAACTCAAGCAAGGAGGAGGGCACCCAGAGGCTGGCGGGCGGGTGGTGGGAGGGAGAGCCTCAGCCCGTGCAGGCCCGTGAGGAGGGAGAAGTGCTTGTTGCGAGCCCCTTCCTGCCCCACCCCCTGTGCTGCTAGGAGCCCACCATGCGACTCTGGGTGGTGTTGGGTGGTCCAGAACCTTCCGTCTCCTCTCCCTGTGCTCAGACCTCATGCTCCTTCCTGCTTCTACTCTCTCCCCTCCAACTCGCCTATCCCGAGGATCCAATGCCAAAGCGAAGTGCCACGCTGCGGGGGCGTGTCCACCTGTGTGACCTGGGGGTCCCGGCTCCCCTCCTTGGCCTTCAGAGACCCCTGGGCCCACCTGGCCTCCTTCCCAGGCTCAGCCCCCAGGACCCAACACCCTCCCCGGCTCTCCAAGGCCCTTTGCCCCGCCGGCTTCACCTGCCGTCCCTTCTTGTCCTCCACCATCAGCCATGCCACCTTCCCTGCTTCCTGGCCCAGCGGCTCCCCCGGGCACCTCTGCCTGTTGTCCTGGTTACTTG